GAACTTTCCCATTGTTCTGAGTATTGGTCAATTCAATGAGTGCTGTCAAACAATCACTTTAATGCTGCAAAGAGCAATGACGAGTTACATTAAAGATTTAAGCTGTACAATCATTCCACCGTAGAAAAAGAACAGTTGAAAGAAATCATTAAAAATTAGCATCACACGGCCTTTCAGGTGAAACTTTTCTGTGTAAAGTTTTACATATTAAAATCGAACATTAACCAAACTGTTATTTCATATTCTAAATTTTCACCTTAGTCAACTTCACATGCGCACACACATTTCAGCTCCACGTGGACTGTGTGGACCCGATCCTTTGGTAGTCCAACTCCTGCCCCTTGGATGTTGTTTACAACCCCCTGACTTTTAGAACCAGTGACAGGAAGACCTCCGCAAAGTCAGACTTCACTTCGAGGTGCTATCAGGCACTTCAGTTTCTTTAAACATCAGGAGATGAATCCTTAATCAAAATCAAGTAAAAAAAAGAAAAAAAGACTTGAATCTGCAAGTATGAGATTTATTTTTGCTTGCAAAGTTGTATTTTTTCTGTATTTTACAACACAGCATTAATTAAAAAGCCATAAATTCTCACTGGTATCAACTAAGTTTATTAATTTGGTGCACAAAAAAGGCAAGACTAACAGCACTACCATCATTACAGAGGTAAAAACACAAGAGGTGTCCATTGGGGAAGAATCAGACGATTCGATAGTGAGATACACAAGGGGAACACTATACATGGAAATCAATACAAATCACGTTCAAAAACAGGAAGTGGCAGTGATTGGAGTTGTTGCGCTTGTCAAGAAGTACCAGCACAACGTGTTGACATACGACTCCTCGAGTGGCCGCTGAGGCTGGGGTGTACCGTGTTTTTTAAAGCTGATGACAAGCAGGAGAAAAATATTTTCAGCTGTAAGCGTACTGAATGATCAAGTGCTCAGTTTGTTGCTACATTTAAATTACAAAGCTCAGGCTTTTTGTACAATCCTGTGGGGGGAAAACACTCAAAATCTGTTTCATTCAATCGGTGCATATCTCCACTTCTGGATGGTAGAAAAAAACAGCACAAATGATTTAAATCACTGTCACATCGTACATAAAATCTTTACTATATACATACAAAGAGCACACGTGAATGTACAGAATGAAATCCAAAGAGTCGTAAAATGATGGAAGACTAATTATGGTAAAAGCTTTGCTGCACTGTTCTCTTTAAAAAGTGAATTTACTTGAAAATATTGCTATTTGAACCATTGTTTTTCACACTGTATCATGGTTCAACAGTTTTAAATGTTTTATTGTGGATATTTTTACCCACTTTTAGTGGGTTTTTACCCGACCTTCAGTGGGTACCCATATTTACCCACTGAAGATTTCTTGGAAACATGGATAAACCTGCCTTGTCCTGCCAGGTAGGAAAGGCATGAAAGAGTATGGTTGGCCTTTTTGTTCAATATTTCACTAAAATACTTCTTTGTATAAATATTAAGAGCGTAAGTACTCAGATTTATGCTACCAGTTGTCCTCTGAGCTCAATGCTAGCATGCTAATATGGTCACAATAGTTAAGCTTAACATGCTAAGCGAGTATATGTATATGCCTTGTAGGGCCGCAGACCAGTCAGCACGCCCCTTATAAAATGTGTATTCCCTGACTGGTTGGTGAGTGGTTGCTGGCTGTCGTTGTGTAAAATAGTTTGCAAAACAGGGTACTGCCTCAAAAACCTTGTTGCAATTGCTTTGGTCGCTAGCAGATTACTGCGGTCGTCCACAGTTTGCATGGAATTTGTCTGCAAACACTCACCAGTCAACCAATGAGTGGTAATGAAACATGAACAAGTGTAGCACCACCTAGAACATTTGCGTTCAAAGTAAAAGCTGCTGAACCAACATATTTCAAAAGGCAACACTTTTACTGTAAAGGCAGTCTGTGCTCTATTCTTCACAGTTTTACTATCGCTTCGTGAGTAGTTGACAAGACATGAAGTGTTTGCAAACCAGGTGGAGACTTCCGTGCAAACTCTGTGCCAAATCGGCTCTCTATTTTGTTACAGCCAGCTTCACCTAGCAACAGTAACCTCCAACAACCTTTTGCTAATCTGGGAAAACACATTTTTCCATAGTGAACGGCAGTTACAAGGGGGTCACTGGTCTTAGCAATGGATTCCACAGCGACTGCCCACAACAAGCAAAAGATCCCCAGTTCAAGACCAGGAGGAAATACCTTGTGGGTTGCATCAGGATGAGTATCCTGCCCAATCAAATGTGCAGCACTGCCCACTGTGGAAACCCTTAGTGAATAATGGGAGAGCTTAATGTAGTTTTCTTTTGGTTGGAGAATTTTTTTTTTCCTAGCAGCCTTCCAGTGCCAGGGAGTCGCCATCAGCTCTCTACGTCTTGTGTAAATGAGGCCTTAGTCATCTTATTTCAGCTAATATTTCTCATATTTGCTGGTTAGACACAAAGTACAACAGACATTATTATTAGTCTTGCAGGAACTGAACCGTTGAAAATTTGACCATGGACTGTTTAAAGGATGGACAAAGTCAAGCTAATGCAGGAGCGCCTTAAAGGTGCATTCTGATATCCAGCAGGGGGCGAGTCCTCTGACTGCAAAAAGACTTTGGGTCATATAAACCTTTACAGAAAACCGCCCACAGTTCCTAGTTGACAAGTTACAGACAAAGTTGCCAGTTTCAGAACATAGTCGTTCCAACCTCGTTTTAAAAATCTTAATACTGAGCAAGCAGTTTCTCAGTCAAATCCACACCTTACACATCATAGCTGGTTTCAAACATCACAGTGTTTGAAACCAGCTGTGATGTTTGAAACCAGCTGGGGAAAACACTCATCCACTGAAGCACTTAACAGGCCAATGGATGATGCTCTGGTGGCTAGGTCCATCTTTTATACAGTCTATGACTTTGACTTTAAGATGATGCAGCGTGGAAATTTAAGGGTCAGCAAAGTTCTTACAAATCATCCTGAGAGGAACATTAATATACATGGCTATCCATCCAACCAAATGTCAGCCTTATAGTGAACCGGAGAGAAAAATACGTTTGTGATTGAAATAACTGTGATACAGTATCAGGAAACAATGAGCCTCTGTACACATTCTAACAGTAAACCACCAACAGTTGTTGAAATGGTTTACCAACGGACCAACGAGCTCACAGACCGCTACAATGGCATTGCCTTCTGTTGAGCTGCACTATATCAGTGTAGCAAAGAAGCGCTCTCTGGAGCAAAAGAGGAGAACCATTATTATAAACTGAAGCGTTCATTCAAACCCAGATTTTTTTCCCTCCCTCTAGAAAATATAAACCTATGTTGATGCCTACTGTGTGAGTATATATATATATATAAATAGATTTGGGCATGCAGGTACAGCTAAAAGCAGATCTCCAAGGCACCAATTGCACAATGCTGTCAAGAAATTAGTTTCAAAGGGTAATGCTGTACCCGAAAAGATGTTCAGGTATTAAGAGAAAAGTAAATCAAATCATAATTTATTGTCAAGCAACAGATTCTTTCAGTTACAGAGGACTTGCTATGCTTGTTACCATCTCCATGTTGTTATTCTTGGACTCTACTGCAGTAGCTTTGCATTATTCAAGGATCAAAATAATAAATATTCCTTATACTGAGCCCTGGAGTAGCCTATCTTAGACTATTTGTCTTCTAAATGGCTTCCACTAACAAACAGAGGATTTGAACAACAAGTGGGTGGGGCAAAGACAGCCCCACTCTCTGACATCATCCAGAGCCAACAGCAGAAAAAACTGTCTGAAAGCAAGTATTTAAAGTAGACTGAAGCCGGCACTTTTCCTTGCAGAGGTTACTTAGACATACACTGACCTCATCAATTAAACCTAATAGGTAGCACAATAAGTCCACTTTGTCCACTGTGTGACAACAGCATATTTATAACAGTATCCCTCAAAGAAAAGTAGCAACTGTACCACTGATTGTTTCCAATAGTTAATCTAATTCTTTGGGCTCTTACGAATCCCGTTAAACAAGTCTTGACACGTTTTGTCATACAAATAAATGTGGACAACTGTAAATGGAAATAAATGGGAAAACAATTCAGTCTCTAAGTAATCTATGATGAATTGCTGTTAACGGTAAAATGCAAATATATTCATATGCACGGTGAAAACATTCATTTTCATGCATTCAAAAACAGATGTAGGCTAAAAACCTTAAACTTCAGACATGAACTTCAAAATGGCAGCTTTGCTTTGCTTTACAATGTACATCAAAATTTCAATCCAAAGGTTCTGGAGTCAGTCAAAAGTTGGAAAGCTGAAGCTCGTTTTCCTTTTACTTACACTCAGTTTAGTTAACAAATCCCAGAGCGTCATTTATGGTGGAATGAGGCAGTAGGATACAAAGCGAGATGCGAGTGCTGCGGACTGGGAAAGCTTCTTCGTCTTATTTAATATACAGCAGGCATTTATGGTGAGGATAAGTGCACTACACATTGACCTGTATCTGTGTCCATCCTGCAAACTCACCAGATTTTTTTATACTAAATATCGAAACACACCACCTTTGCGTAACCCTATTTAACGATTACAGGCAGTAAGAAGGCACCCTCTATAATGCCAGAACCGGATACTGTGGGACATCGTGTTCACATGGACATCTGCTGTGAGGAATCTCGCTGGTGATCGTCAGATTTGGGAGAATGAGAGAACACGGTGCACAAACTCGTCTTAACAGCAGCTACATAACGTGACACAGATGCTGATTCATTTCTTGAGCTAGCTTATGCATTCTTTGGCAAAGTTGTACAATCACAGAACTCAACAACAACAATGCCTGTGTGAACACAACTCATATGAATTACTTAATTTGGATTTTAACTGAAGCACTGATGGGTGGGGAAATGAGCCTGAGAAGCTTTAGCTTCTCTTGGTCAGAGGTCTGCCCTCCCGGATGTGCTTGGGCTCCTCTTTTCCGTCTTCCCCTTCTCCCTAACCTTCCTCAGGCGCCGGGGAGGTGGTGTACCTCTTGATTCACTGTCCTCCTGAGCGCTGGATGTATCCATCCCATCACGCTCTTCAGGAATATTCGGAATGGCCCACTGCTCCCATCTAAAATGTTCCTCAGGGACGGGTCCTCTGGTGTGCAGGTAGCAGTGGTGCCGCTCTCACTGCTGCTCAGGTCCTGCTCTTCGCCGTACCGCCCGCCACGGCTGTGGTGCGGCAGGGAAGAAGCCCTGATAGAAGGTCGGTCACGCTCCGTCTCGCGGATGCTTTGCTGAGGCTCGTTCATGTCCACCCCTGAGTCCAGGCTGGTGTCGTTGCTGCTTGGCGGGCGGTGGTGGCTCTGGAGCTCAATGATGGAGTGGCGGACCTGCGCTGCTGGCTTCCCGTCTAAGGAGACAAACCAGGCTCTGGGGTGAGACGACAAGGACTTGCCACGTGTCAGCTCCAGCAAGGTGCGCTCTGAAATCCCCTGCAACTCACTGGGCACGCCGTGCCCGGTGTTGAAGCCCTCCATGCCAGCTGCCTCATTAAGAGTCCCAGGCACAGAGACGGAGGATTCAAGGAGGTTACTGTAGCGTCCCCACACACTGTTAGGGCCTTGCCCCTGAGGGGGCGTCTCCAGAGGCTGGGTATCATCTTGGTTACTCTGCTGTGGGCTGCTCCCACCTTGTGAGTGGTGGTGAGGAACTTTGGGTAGTGTCTGGGTGTAGCTGTCTTTACTTGCAGGCTCTGAGTGAGCATCATACTCACTTCCGTTGCGGGGGAAGGTGGCGGACTTGCAGCCTGGTAGCTGCTGCTCCTGAGCACTGAAGAGCTCGGGAGCGGGAATAATGGCCACTGGCTGGTTGTAGATATGGACCAGCTTATCCTGAAAGAAGTTGTCGCAGTTGATGTTGGCCCGGTTCTGCTCCGACTTCTCCCTTAATCGAGACACCTCCTCACTGTTGATGTAGTGAGGTGGCGGCTGAGGACCCTTCATCCGATCTGGAGTGATGTTCTCATAAAGCGGTGCCGTGGCACGAGTCCCTGGATCCTCCACATAGATGTTATAGTTGGCTTTGTGCCTTGGAGTAGATGACGGTTCGCACTGGATGCTGCAGGTGGCGAGGCTGTTGTCGCCAGATCGGAACAACAAGCCCTCTTCCATGTGGGTGGAGGTGGTTTGGTCTTTCTTTACAACCGTCAATTTGGAAAAACGTGCTCTCCTCCTCCTGGGCTCTCGATAAGAACCTCTGTACATGGGAGAAGCAAAAGTTAAGCAGGACAAGCTTTGGTCTACACGCTTTTCAGACTCACTCAAAGAACCTTTAAAGTAGGAACTGTTTCACTATTTCATTACTAACAGCCTATCAAAGCTGAACACAGAGTACCACATTTACTTGTTAAGCAGCTCTTGAGAGTTAGCATAACTCTGGCAGAAGATATTGCTAAAGTTGCAACAAGCATTGTAATCTGTCTTTTTAGGTTTTCAGTCATCCAGGTCATACTAGTCTTAAGAGCTTGGTAGAAGGTGAGGGGTCCAGTTTGTTTAGTCACTCTTAAGACTAGCATTGCAATCCTTTCTGCTAATTGTGCACCTGCACTCTTCTACTTTAATCACGTATATTTTCCCAGTTTGACTGTGCCCTTGCAGCAACTTGATTCTTTTCTTTTTCAGCCATTCTGTTGCAGATTTGCTGCTGTGCTTCAGATCATTGTCCTGCTGCATGACCCAGTTTGGACCTTGTTAAGTCTTTTATAATTGTACTTTAACATGCTGATACAGTGCTATGATGCAGAGTTAAGATAACTGATATGGTGGAGTTGCAACAAGCATGGCAATCATTTCTCCTAGTGCTGCAGCTGCACAGTCTTCTGATCCACTTTACTGATAAAAAGCATGCATAGTTTACCATTTTTACTAAAAATGCTTGAATAATCTAGCAATTTTTTGCAGCGATATATAGGGAAGGCTAAGCTAAGGCTACAGCTAGCAGCTTTAGCCTAGCCTTCTCTGTATGAAAGGTGTCAGAACAGAAGCTAACAAAGTTCTGTTTTAATTAGAAATTTTTGAGCCCAAAAATTGTCTTTAGTTTATATAGCAAATTTATATCTGTTCCAAACAACTGTTAACTGTTTCCTTGATTACTAAAAACTGCCATATTGAGCCATATTGTTTGAGCCCTAATTTAAAGTGACATTGTAACCAGTTAGGCCAAAGAGAAATTTACTGATACTGTTAAAGGCCTGTGAAAATCTAAGCACAACCCATAGCAGAAATAACTTGAAGTAATTATTTCTGTATGGCTTTATCATTTTCTGAGATTGTTAGGAATTTTCTGTATGCAAAGTCGCAGGCAAATCTGAAGAATAAAACTGCTATGATGATTTCTTTAGAGATGCATTAGAAGGCAATCTTGAAGCTATGGATGCACTCTTAGATCACACCTTTTTAATCTGCCTCTTGTTGATCAGCATTGCATATATTGTCAATTGAAAACATTTCTAGAAGGGCTTCTTACCCACAGTGGCACAAGAGCAGGGACAGAAATCCGATCACTATGGCCAGAGTTCCACCCAGTATTCCTACCAACAGGTAGGTATGGTAAGATAGGAAATCCAAAGAGTTTGCATGTCCCAGATAATCTAAAAGGATAAATGTATAAGAAGGTGTGAAACAGGTCTAAACAAAAATAGCATTCACATGTGTTAATGAAGGTCAATGAGGTATCTACCTCTTGATGAAGGCAGAGGGGCGGCGATCCAGTAGCCCAGATGGGAAGCGGTGTAGGTCCAAACCAGCTCATTTCCAACCGTTTTAACTATTCCCAGACCATGATTCTCCCAGCCACCTTCAAACAGCAAGGAAAATAGCATGAGAGGAAATTTCTTTTAAGTCTTTTTCTTGTAATTCAGCTGCTCTGCTGCTATTTGCATTGCTACCTGTCTTCTGGTTGAAGGCCCAGGCTGGCACAGTATCAGAGGCCCTGAGGTGTGTGTGGTGGCCCAGCGGCAGACTGATCTGGATGGGTCCTCGAACCTGTATCTCCTCGCCACCGGAGTACAGCAGGACGCTGATGGCTGCCACGGCTTTCAGATCAATACTTCTGAAAACTGCAAAGCAGTCCATGCCAGGAATGTAAATGGTAAAGCATATTGTTTGGGTACCTCAATAAAAAAGTCATCCATCCATCTCCAAAGCCACACTTTCCAGTTCCTACTGGGGAATGCTGAAACAATCCCAGGCCAGACGAGATATATAATCTCTCCAGCAGGTTCTGGGTCTACCCCAGGATCTCCTTCTAGTTGGGTGTTCCTGGAAAACCTCCAAAGACAGGCACCCAAGAAGCATCCTAACCAGATACCCAAACCACCTAAAGTTCCTCACCCTATCCCTGAGGCTGAGCCAAACCACCCTACTGAGGAAGCTTACCTCAGCCCCTTGCACTTTGAATCACCTTGTTGTTGAATTGTGCTATACAAATAAATTTGCCTTGCCTTGCCTTGTATTCACCACTAATGTTCCCTCTAAGCTGCGCACGTGTGCAATTGCCCACTGCTGGCACGGTCTCTGCGCACAGAAAATCTGCGTTGTGCACAAAAAAAAATCTAACCTTAATTGAAATTGAAATTAAAATTTCAACAATTCTGTTTTGCAGTGTTAGTCAGTACGTGACTGGCTGCTCCAGTATGGGATTAGAACGATGCCACCTTATCCCATAGTCCAGCCAATAATGCGATTCACATTCGTATATACGCAGCTAATCAACGTCGTTGACAGGCTACGACAGCGTCCTTATGTGCCGACACCGGTGTTTTAGCTAGCAAAGCAGCGTGGCTGATGTGGAGTGAAGCCACGTTAATGACAACGTGTACAACCATTGGAGATGTGAGCAGGACAGACGGAAGAACTGACGGGAAAAGTGTTGACTTTATACCAGTTTTTAAATTGTGTTGATAGGCCACGTAAAACCAGAGTTATGATAAAAAATATATGCAATGTTTGTTTTCTTCCTGAATACTATCGTTGTTTATATTTACTGCGGGAAGAAACGTTCTATAAGAAAAAACGCTCGAAGTACGGAAGCACTCTCCGCCTGTGAGCAAAAACAAAACCAAAAACACCCCACCTTTTCCTATTGGTCGAAAAAAGTACCATGTCGACCAATCAAAAAATGATATGGCAAGTTGTTAAGAAACGGATGGAAGTTTTAGGAGTGACGGCGGTGTTTTCAGATGTGAGAGATTTGCGACATAGCGCAAATCTTATGTCGTTAGTGTGTAGTGTAGTCAATAGTTTTGTTGTGTGTCAGAACAATGAGGCGACTGCTGAATGTTACAGGTGTTACAGGAGTGATACATCTCCTGTTGTCAGGCCTGCAGGTATCAGGCTGTTGTTCTCCTTGATGCGGACAGAAATTATTTTTGGAGTGGCACAAATAATTTGTATGGCATCAAATTTGATGCCAAACAGCTGATTATGCTGTAAATAGTTTGAAATGTTTATTTAAAAAAAACACCTTGGCTGCATTTTTAAAAAAATAGCTGCAAAAAACTTCGTTGTTTGCAAAACTCAGTTACTTTTTTGAAGAAGTAACTATATAATTAATTGCGCAACATTGGTCATTATATATTGTATTTTGCAGACAGAGTTACAGGACTCTCTCCCAGACCACAGACTCATACTCATAATACAACTCAGAGCTTTATAAAATAAAAAAAAGAAGAAATTTGTGTTTTCAAAATTTGAGTTCAAGTTAGTTTTACTTCCAATAGTGTTAACATCCTACACAGGTCAATGACTACATTTTTGTTTTACATTTTCATTGTAAGTGGGCTAAAGCAGTTAATTAAAAGTAGTCTAACATAAATGTAAATGCTGTAATTTAATAAACCATGTAACTTGGATGGATTCAATGCTGGCATGACCACAGTCGTCTGCTGTTGCTCACAGTGGTCCAAGTGTCCGCTCAGGGAGTGTGTGTGTTCGCTCAGACACATGGAAAATTAGAGGGAACATTGTTCACGACCTTACTTTTTCATTCTTTACCTAGATTTCATGACCAGAGGTAAAGGTTGGGATGTAGATGGAGCAGTAGATCAAAACCTGAACCACCCTAACCCACTACTGACAAGGAGTGTGAGCTGGGTGTGTGGACCCTTCAGCACCACAGACTGGTTTCTGGGACGTGGAACATCATTTTTCAAAGGCATGATTGATCTCTTTCATTCTGTACCTCTTTAACTGGACCAAATGTCATTGTGACGTTTAAAAAATCTGATCAGGAAATGTTTTTCTTTACGTGATTTGTTGCTGATGAAGCCCGGCGTGCAGTTGGTGCAGTCCTTCGCCAGGTGGGGATGTGGTACAGTCAGGAACGCCATCACCGAAGAGATGTTGGTCTTATCCGGGATCGTGAGAATGTTCTTTGGGAACTTCACCATCGGCTGGGATGAGCTGTCTGTGAAAACAAAATGGCAGGTTATCAGTAGGAATTTGGGCACATGTGCTTTTTAAGTCGATTCAGCCTTCTGCACATTTGTTACACATCTGCAAGCCGCTTTGCAAACCACTTCCACAACAGCTCCTCCTTTTAAAGGTGTAATTGAATCTTCTCTTTACTCAAATAATCTTTACAAGTGACTTTAGTTGAACTAAAGTCACTTGTAAAGTAGCCACATACAGCTCAGTTTGGTCTGCTGTTTCAATCTATCGATTTAACTGTGAAGCAAACTAGCTAAAATGAACCCTCACTGGGTAGTTGATCTTACAGTCAGTATGTTTACTTTACTAATGAAAGTCTTTTCAATGTAAAGAAGAGGGGCCCTGCCATCTACCCACTGGGTTGCTGTACACAGTGACAGAACACAAGTACATTAAAAACTGACTAAACTAAGAGCAGCCTGTGTGCAGAAAAGCAGTTTGTTTAGTTTTCTGCAGTCTGAAATCTGGAATTTGTCTTTGCTGAAGGTTGACAGCAGTGATACCTGCAGGAGTTAGCCTTAAGCAGCTTCACTACATTCATTTTAGAGAGGGAGGCATGTGTCACAGAGTTTAAATACCTGGAGTCAACCATCCCAAAGTAACAGATGGTGAACAAGAGAGTACAGGCAGGGTGGAGCGGTTGGAGACGAGTGACAGAGGGCAGCAAGAATGGAAAGGAAAGTTAAGAATATGGTTAATGGTTTGGACACAGTGGTGCTGACAAAAAGACAGGACACTGGGAGTAACCAAGGGAGACAAAAGTAGAAATGAGTACATCAGAGGGATGGTTTACTCTGGATATATTTTTACTGTTTGCAAACTATCCAGAGGGCTGAATCGTACCTCTGGGCAGACCGATTCCAGCCTCTGAAGCCACATGTTTAGACACCTCTGGTTTCGTCTCAGTGTCTCTGCCAAGTGTGTCCACTTTGCACTGTCAAACACACTCAAAAGCCTACTTAAAGCAGTGTAAATTGAATACTAAAAGCCTAAACACAGTGTGTGTGTGTGTGTGTGTGTGTGTGTGTGTGTGTGTGTGTGTGTGTGTGTGTGTGTGTGTGTGTGTGTGTGTGTGTGTGTGTGAGAAGGAACTCACCAGGTACCTTCCCGGTGATGAGCACGGAGTCTTCATACAGCCAGATGTTCCCCTGACTGTGAGGCAGCAGCAGCAACGTGACAGAGGAGAAAACTGCCAGAGAACAAAGAGAAAGATCAGGAGCCAATCACAAGTACAGAAGAACAACAACGATCTGTCAGGTTTTCATGACCTATAACATCTGCTGGTGTGTTTGTTTGTTGGTTTGGTAGCTTGTAGAGCTACAAATCCAACAGCAGAGGGCGTCCAAACATTGGAGCACAGCAGAGTTCAGCTGTCTGGCTCAGCACCACAAAAGGGAGGCGTCTCTGCTAATGCAACTGTTCCCCCCACCCTTCCTGCATTTTCTCCTCCATAACACCTGCTCCCCACTTCCCTTTGAATCACCACCTGCTCCCTTGCCCCTTCTCCACACTAAGGCCAGCAGAATAAAAACATCCCCACCACCCCCCTGCTCTGGCAGGACAAAGACACTTTGCTGAGACAAGCATAGGTCTCATGCCGGCCTGAGGCAGACACCTCGACTCCAAGAGCGATCGATGAGGGGAGCACAGGACGCCACGCTCAGTTACACTCGACTGGGAACATAAATCGCCTCATCGTGGACAAACCTCAGAGACAAGTTGTGTGTTGTCGCTGACACTTCATTAATCTATAATGACAATGAATAATGGAGGTGAGTGTGTTTGTGTGTGTCTGAGTGTGTGGGAACTGTGCTAGCAATACTGTAAGCTCCACAGTCTTGTTTTTGGGTTTTTTACGTCACCTTTTAAAAAATTATTTACTGGTTTGGTCATTTTTAGGTTGGCAGTGAGCCCACTTTCTGAATTCTGTCTCTAAAGCACTTTAGACCAATAAAAATACTCACCAATACCAGTACCGATATACCAGTATTGGTATTGGTTATATCTGCCCTGTATTTACTTGGTAATTGAAAATTAAAATTATTTAATAAAATTCAGTGGGCTACATACTGAACTTTGAGGATAGAAATAAAGTATTGATCCAGTACTGATATCAGTAATTGTTTCGATCTGCCCACCTCTGCTGGTTACTCACTTGGTCTCTTATTGGTGCTCCAGGGGAGCAGGCTGGGCACGTAGCCTCCCATGCTGCCCAGCAGGGTCAGACCGAGGCCCGGGGTGTACGGCACCCAGAGCAGAACCTCCCCCATCTCCCCGGTCTGGGCAGAAGTCCTCAAGGTGTGGTTGACGTAGACGTCCACCGAAGCCCCCGACAGGGGCTGGCGGGTCACCAGATCCCTCACCAGGACCTTCAGGGCAAACTGAGGCTCTGCAAAGAAGATGCCAGAGGAAAAAGAGGAGATCTGGGTTGCACGTGTCCCTCCTGCGTGCTCCGTAACCTTTCTCTCGCCATGAAAAAGTGATGAGGCGAGCACTTCTGCGGGGAGGGTGGAAAAATACATCCAGGAACCGAACGACAGCACAGAAGAGATGCAGTCTGACTTTTAAATACGAGCTTCCAGATAAATGCACTGTTTGCTGTTATTGACGGACACACACACACAGCCTCAGCTGTCCTTTGTGTGTTCACTAGGGACAGGATGTAAACACAGACTTTACTTACTGTATCAGCAGAGCAGCACAGGATTACCACACTCCCCTCCCTCCCTGTCTCCCATTAAGACATCACCTGCTCAGGCCAAAAAGATAAAAGCCTAATCCTCCACACCTCCATATTCCTCCTATTAATCCTATTACACTGGACTGTCTGATTCCAGTCCAGCAGTGTATCAGTGCGCTCCTGATTTCCTAATTTATTGCAGAAAGCCCCCTTTATTAACGCACCTGCACCATCAGTCATGCCCCACTGTTTCCTCTGCAGCTGATTTCCATTTTCAGTAACAATGACATCCCCCTCCTCCATCCTCCACCCCCCTCCATCCTCCAGCAAACACCCCCTTCCTCTTTGTTTATGTTTACCTGCTGATAGAGCCGAGAGGGTGGCGGCTCGGCTCGAGGCGGCGGTGTAGGTGCCGGACGGGTCTCCGGCCCCGGCCGTGAGGCCGCCGCCCTCCTTCAGTGCCGCTGCTGCCCTCGCCACCCCATCCAGGCAGGAGATCAGCAGCAGCGACGGCAAGAAGAGGAGCAGCGGCGGTGGGTGGCGTTCAGCGGCGGGCATGGCGAGAGGGGGAGCAGGCTCAAAGACATAACGGACCGCGAGGAATCGAGCTCTGGAGCGGGGAGCGCGATCACCGAGGCCTCGTCCCTCCCTCCGTCTGTGTGTCTGTCAGGGTTCCTGTGATGCTGGTGCCGAAAGAAGGAGGAGGCACCCCGCGGAGAGGAGATGCACTGGTGCTGAGGCTGGGCGTGTGGGGCCGAAGATCGTCTATATAAACCGCGATGTCTCACTCTGTTAGAGGAATGCGTGCGGTAATCGAGATTAAGCAAAATGAGGGCGTGTATCAGTAAACATACCCGGAGCAGAAGCACTGCCGCTGTTTTCTAACGTTTCATGGATGTTACTGTTTGACAAGAGTCTCTGCTGTCCGCGGGAAAAGTGTCAGAGTGAGCGCTCCTCTCTCTGCGTCATCTCTGATGAGACCCAACATGCTGTTACATCATCGGGGTCTGCGCGGCCCTCTGTCGGTAAACTGGGGACTCAACACTTCGGATCATACAGGGAATTCTTTATACTTTGCTATGTACATCTTTAAATAAATCACGTTTTTAAACATACATGTAAATACAGTAAATAAGGCAAACTCTCTTAGGCAGCTTTCTTGTCATGTCTTTAAGTCGTCTTCAGGAATAGTTCTCCAGGCTTCTTGAAGGACATTCAAAGCTCTTCTTTGGGTGTTTCTACCTTTAGATGATTTTCATAATTTTCATACCTCAGCCTTTTCTCTTTGTTTCCCTTCCTTAAGAATGGCTTGTTGACAGCCACTGAGACCATTTCTGATGAGGAACAATAGATGATCAGCTGAAGGTCCAGATGAATCTATCAGGTCCTGTGTCAGATTCTTTACTCTTTCTATAACGACATGACTTGTGTTCTTTTTTGTATTTTTCATAGATTCAAAGAAATTGGAACAAATGATGTGTTTTTGTTACAGGCTGCTTAAAAAAGTGCCTAAAGATGTGTAGAAACAACACTGGCTCATCCCGTGACTTAGGAGCCTTTTTATGCTTGAGTGATAAGTGGCATAACAAAAACGACTGAAAATGAGTGAAAAAGCAGCAAATGCACAAATAAACACAGTAAAAGATCTTCAGAAAGCTGGAGAACTACTGCTCAAGAGCACTTTGAAAACTGACCAGAAAGTTGAACTCCTTGAAAGCAAAATATAAAGAAATGAGGGGCGGCTGATGAAATCAAAAGTTGAATTCAAACATAAGTGAAAATCTGAACCTGTGAAAACCTGGGTGATGAATTTCCATGACTTTCTTGAAATATCATCAACAGTTCAATAATTTCTGTATTTCTCTTGTTATATTTGGGTAGTTTTTTTTTTTTGCTTTTTTGCTTTTTAAATAAATTAAAGGCTGTTGCCTGTTTTTAATTCAAGTGTTTGCCGTGTTCCTTAGTGTTGGTAAGTCCTTCAACTGGGTGTAAGATCATAAAAATTATTATAGGAGTGAACCCACTGTCAGTATCACCCTGCACTGTAGTGGTCTTGATTCATTACTCCATGGCATCAGCCTCAGAAATCTGATGAGAAGCTCTCTCTGAAAGCTTGTCAGACTTTTCCTCAGAATGATGGGTTTCAAAAATGTAGGAGACGCCTCAAAAATTCTAAACTTGTTAGATCCTTCCATCCAAAGTGAGACTTTTAAATAAACCCAGAGGTTAAGAGTTATTTTGCTGTCATACCTTCAATTTTTTTTCTTTCAAAGTTTTAGACTCTCTGAATCTTTGAGAAAACCCGAACCTTCTAAAAACATTGGGCGCTTTTTTAATGCTCTCCTTTGGGGTTTATGGTCAGCGCTGAAGTGTTTCAGGATCTTTATGGACTGGGTTTAGTGTATTTCTTTGAAAAAAAAAAAGTCAGTGAACACAGGTGATCCTTTTAAATCATATCAAAATACAGAGAATTATTTAAGTAATTGTTCTGGTGACTTCTGTTGATCACACTGCTGCCCTGTTACAAGATAACTGCCCTCTAGTGGTCACTATCAGGAACTACAACTCTGCATGTACATGATCATTTAAAAAACTTCAGGCTTTATATGCAAATACTGACATCAACAGTGAAACTGAGTGGAGCCTATCGCTGCTGACCCAAAGTCTGACTAATTAATGATAATTCTACAAGCTGTAACGGACGTACTCTCTCTGGTTATTTTATTAGGTACACCTACTACTGTGTGTGTGTTTAAGTGATGCTCAGCTCAGTCCAAAGAAAATGTCCTCTAGATCATTACACCACCAGCAGCTTGAAGCAGTCTGGCCATTATCTGACATCAACAGGGATCTGCTGCTCACTGGACATTTTCTCTTTTTCAGACCAGTCTCTTCAAACTCTAGAGACAGCAGATCCAGCAGATCTTCACGCAGACAAACAACCATGTCACATTCAAAGTCACTAAAACTAAAATGAGAAAACAGTCAGGTGTCACAATAAGATGCCCCACAAATTATTTGTGTCAGTAAAAGATTTTACTGACACAAAATCCACCACAAGACAGAGGAGAACACCACAGGGATAAACCCTGCAGGCCTGACAGCAGGTGTATCACTGCTCCTGTTTTCCACCTGGACAGTGTTTACATTGCAATCTGCCTTTGTGACAGTCATTAGCACCCTCACTAACACACAAAACAACGACTACATAACACACTAAATGTCACAAATCTCTCGCTCTCTCTACCTTTCTCTCCAATTCGCTCGCTCCGTCTCGCTGCTGTCACTCTCAAACCTTCCCCTCTTCCTAAACAACCAAATCCCACATGCTGCCTTTTTTTTTTTCCTCTTCAAAGTTGGTTGACAGGGTACATTTTTCCACCAACAGGAAAGAGTTGGCTTTTTTTTGTCTTTACAGTTTTCGGACTGTCCTTAGAAAATGCTTTCTTCTTCTTTTTTCATTTCTTCTTTCTAGTATATAGAAAAAGGCATCGCTTATATATATTTTTTCATATCTCTGGATTTAGTGGCCTTTAATGAAAATTTCAAAACTGGTGTATACTTTGAAGTCCAAACTTTCAACACGAGCTGAAATAGAGACTCAGCGTGGCTGCAGCTTGTTTTTATGTCAGCTTAAATCAGTCATGTGATTTGGAGGTGCGCACACAGAGGGTTAATAACACTCACCTTCATTCCATTTCCAGACTGTAACAACCAAGCACCTGTGTGAAATCTTAAATGCCCATTGTGCTCTGGCACAATCATAGGCATCGGTTGCTACTGAAAACAAGAAATAACACCATGAGCTGAACCTGTTAATGGTGGTGGTGTGAAGCAGTGGGCAGCCACCAATGCAGCGCCCGGGGAGCAGCGTGTAGGGACGGTACCTTACTCAGGGGTACCTCAATGTAGCCGTTCAGTGGAGTCAAACCCCCGCCGGGGCCATTAAAATATTATACCACTAGGTGGCAGCGTTGACCATTTCCACAATTTAAGTGATGCTGAAGAAGTCTGCTCCACTTTGTTACAGTGTTTCACTCATGCAAACATAAAAACAGCTTTAATTTAGAATATTTTATTAAAATGCTCACTCATTCGGTCTATCACAGTAACAAAAGTGTCAGGGTTTTGTGAAATGTGCCGTGGTCAAATATTACAAACAGACGGTGCTACATTAGGCTGCGTGTTAACTGTGAAACATCCCCAGAACGTTTTACTAACAGCCGTTTACTCACTTTAAATCCATAAAATCAAATACAGATATATTAAAAAAAAGAAGTGCAAGTGTTAGTAAACAGAACAAAGTTGAGAGATTTTATACAAAAGTGCAACAAGAACCGTTTCCTCTTATCGGTCAGACAGTTTTAAAGTGTTAATATGCACAAAACTTGTGTAAACATTCAGATATTTTGGTCAAGCGTCACGTTTAAAATCAAATATCGGATCAATTAATATATATGTATGCACACTTAATAGTTAGATTTGTACACGAATACGTCATTTATTACGTTTATTGTAAAAACTGGAGTAATTGTACCCAAATGCACAGGGACTGATTAAACTTTAGCAGCATTGTGGGCGCTCGTTGCCACAGGGAAAAATCTCCTGATTAGTCAAAATTATTTATTTATTCAAAATAAATGTGATATAAACAAACACACACAGCATCACGAGGCTCATTAAAAAAAACCCAAACAAACTGGCAGCCCTCTTCAGCGGGTTAGTATTACTGGTACCCATCAGCCAGCGGTTTATTGCACAAGAGCAGCAGGGAACAGCGCCCCCTTGGCACAGACCACACTCGTCGATTGTGAAGCAGTCAGTGAATTCAAGGGCTGACGTGCAAACGCAGATTAAGAAAACCCGACTTCCCCGAAGAAATTCTGCATAGACTCTGAGAGATCGGTTCACAAAGACCCTCGGCCGACCTTTCTATGCAGGATCTCAGATTTAAGGTCATCAACAGTCACTTTTTTTGGTCAGAAACCTTTCAGCATCTCCACGGGCAAAAAACAAAAAAACAAAAAAAAAACCTTGATGCTGAAGTGCAGCGAGTCGCCCCAACCAGCGGGGTGTTGCTGCCACTACTGCGCCGCCGCAAACGTCACGTCCATCAGTAGCAGCCGTCTCGCCAGGTGCTGTCGCGGAGGGCACTGAAGGTGGACAAGCTCTTTGGAGGAGTCAGTAAACTGAGGGAACAGGAGGACGACTAAAGTCAGAGGACAGACAAAGACATGATGTTCCACAACAGGTAAATCTAACAGACATTCGCTGGAGCCACATGTCTCAGGAACCCCACCAGTGCAGTGTGGATGACGAGTAACACTCGGTGCTTTGCCTCATTTCAAACTTTTAGTGTGAGTCCAAATGAATCTAATACCACGTGCTCCAGGGAGAGTGCAGCAACATCAGTGTTTGATGAGAGTTGTTGCTTCAAATGAACAAATTACACAGTACTCTTTATTTTTAAAAAGTAATCCATTATTTTACACATTTACTGACTATAGTCCAATGAGGTAGGTTTGTGTTACTTCAGATTGCGCAAGCAAACACACACACACACACACACACCTTCTTTTTAAAGTTTACCTTCGTGCTGGTTGGGCCACCTTGCTGCGGGGGGTGGAGCTTGTGGTACCAACAAAGGAGGCAGGGCGGGGCAGGCTGCTGCGTGCAGTGTTTGAGGTGGTGGGTGTCCCTGCAGGTTTACTAAGCAAAGGGATCCCGCTGTTGGCCCCACCCCCCCCACTGCTGTTCAGATTAAGAGACTGGAGACTGATGGAG